TGCTAAGAAGAAAACTAAGCAGGGATGTTTCCCCAGAAATGACTTCCAGATAAGGACCTGGAGGAAGAGGATCAACTTAACCACACGGATACTTGGTGCTTCTTAAATAACAGTCTTCTGCGGGGCAGCATTTCGCTTGGTACTTCCATTATTTGATTATAATCCTCACACTAATGAGCACTGTATTATAAGCCATCTCACTCACTCCACCCCCTTTTTTAAACAAATATGAGTCTGAGGATTGGGTTTACTGGGGAGTCTCTGACCTAACCAGGGTTCAGGGGCCCCAAATACCATATTAAAAGATGCCACCTTTTTTTTCATTTATTTTTATTAGTTGGAGGCTAATTACTTCACAACATTTCAGTGGGTTTTGTCATATATTGATATGAATCAGCCATGGAGTTACATGTATTCCCCATCCCGATCCCCCCTCCCACCTCCCTCTCCACCCGATCCCTCTGGGTCTTCCCAGTGCACCAGGCCCGAGCACTTGTCTCATGCATCCCACCTGGGCTGGTGATCTGTTTCACTATAGATAACATACATGCTGTTCTTTTGAAACATCCCACCCTCGCCTTCTCCCACAGAGTCCGAAAGTCTGTTCTGTACATCTGTGTCTCTTTTTCTGTTTTGCATATAGGGTTATCATTACCATCTTTCTAAATTCCATATATAGGATGCCACTTTCTTATCAATTCTTATAATTTGTGTATTTTGGGATCTCCCACATACATAATCATGTCAGAGTAAATAAAACTTTCTCATTCTTAGGTCTTTTATTTTTCTCTTCTTATGATTACGGAACACACAATGTTAAAAGAAGTGGTGATGGTAGGTATCCTTGGCTTTCTTTGGGTCTTAAAGGTAAAGATTATAGCATAAAGGATGACATTTGCAGTAGTTTTGCATTCATATATGCCTATATATATGAATATATGTATTCTTTTATCAGAAAAAATGCTTATTTTTTCATTGTTTTTTCATTTATTATTTTTTAATTGAAATACAGTTGATGTGCCATGTTATAGCATGTTATTCACAATTTTTAAGTTATACTCCATTTATAGTTATTATAAAATATAGGCTATATTTCCTGCATTGTACAATGTATTCTTGTAGCTTATTTTCTACATAATGGTTTGTACCTCTTCATCCCCTACATTTATATTGCCCCTCCCTCTTTTCCTCTCCCCACTGGTAAACACTAGTCTGTTTTCTATGAGTCTGGTTTTTTGTTTGTTTGTTGTTGTTATATTCACAACTTTGTTGTCATTTTTTAGATTCCAAATGTAAAAGATATCATACATTATTTGTCTTTGCCTGACTTATTTCACTTACCATCATATCCTCCAAGACTATCCATGCTGCTGCAAATGACAAAATTTCATTCTTTTTAATGGCTGGGTAGTATTCTGTTGTATGAATATACAACATTGTCTTTATCCATTCATCTGCTGATGGACTCAGGTTGCTTCCATATCTTGGCAATTGTAAATAATGCTGCTATGAACACTGGGGTGCATGTATTGTTTCAAATTCCCAGGAGTGGAATTATTGGGTCATATGGCCGTTCTATTTTTAGTTTCTTGAGAAACCTCCATTGTTTTCCACAAAGGCTGCACAAATTTACCTACCAAGAGTGTTGTAAGGGTTCCCTTTTCTCCACATCCTAGCCAATATTTGTTACTTGTGATCTTTTTGATGATAGCCATTCTAAGTGTGAGGTGATATCTCATTGTAATTAGCAATGTAGAACATCTTTTCATGAGCCTGTTGGCCATCTATATATCTTTGGGAAAATGTCTACTCAGGTCTTCTGCTCATTGTTTAATTGGGTTGTTTGGGTTTTGCTTTTTTTGACGTTAAGTTGTATGAGCTGAGGATATTAATCTCTTGTATAGTATCATTTTCAAATATTTTCTCCCAAACCGTAGGCTGTCTTTTTGTTTTGTTTATGGTTTCCTTTGCTGTGCAAAAGCTTTTAAGTTTAATTAGGTCCCATTTATTCATTTTTGCTTTTATTTCCTTTGCTTTAGGAGACAGATCAAAAAAATATTGCTATAATTTATCTCAAAGAATGTTCTTCCTATGATTTCTTCTAGGAGTTTTATGGTTTCCAATCATACATTTAGGTCTTCAATACTTTTTGAGTTTATTTTTATATATGGTGTTAGAGAAAATTACAATTTCATTCTTTTACATGTAGCTTCAGTTTTCCCAGCACTAGTTATTGAAGGGGATGTCTTTTCTCCACTGTATAACCTTGCCTCCTTTGTCATAGATTGACCATAAGTGCATGGGTTTATTTCTGAGCTCTCTATTCTTGTCCACTGATCTATGTCTGCTTTTGTACCAGAACCATACTGTTTTCATTACTGTAACTTTGTAGCACAGTCTGAAGTCAAGGAGCTTAATTCCTCCAGCTCTGTTCTTTCCCAAGATTGTTCTGCAGTAGTTTTACGTTCTTACACATACACATGTCTCTATGTATGCATGCAGATATGCATTATCAGAAAAAATGCTTTTTAAAAAATATAACTTTAATATGTGTTGATTATATCAAAATAATTTATGAAACTATTTGAGATGTGATTTTACTCTTTCAATTATTAATGTGATTTACAGATCTTTCTTTTCAGAAAACTTTTACAGTTTGGAATATAGATATATTCAGAAAAGTGCATAAAATATAAATGTATAGTAGATAAGTATAAATAGAAAAATGGTTGTACAAAATGCCCACATATAAGGAACAAAACATTGCCCATAGTAACCCAGAGGCTCTCTGAGTGATACCTTTGAATGTCCAACCCTATCAGAGGCATACTCTGATTTCTATACTAAATCACTTCTCATGACTTTACTTAACAGTTTTCTCAACTATGTATGCATTTCTAAACAAAAAGTTCTAGTCTTAGGTAATTTCTGTTCTTTTGCTGTTCTGAGTTGAAATTTTTTGTTACTTAATTTTTCCTTTACTTGTTGCTATATACTATTTCTATTCTTTTAATAATTACCAAAGAAGATTGTAGCATGCATCCTCAATTGAAAATCTAGCTTAAAGCAACATCTTTACTCCTCCTGAATATAATCATGACCTTGGAACACTATAGCGCAGTTTCTTCCAGTCCCAACTTTTAAGCTATGTAATTTAAATCTCTATATTTTGAAACTTTATTATAAAACAAGATGTACACATAGCAAAGCACACATAAAAGCATGTACTGTTAAGCAATTCATTACCACCAAGTGGACACCTGTAAAATCACCACCCAAGAAAGGGGACACAGGTAGCAATCCAGAAGTTTCCCTTGTGCTCATCAGAGTCACTAATCCCTTCCTTCTCTTCAAAGGTAAGCCTGATATGTATGGTAATTTCTTTTTATTCTTCATGATTTTACTACAAAGCATTCATTTTTTAACTCTACAATTTAATCTTTTTTTGAACTTCATATAAGCAGAATCACACTATATTTTTTCATGTTTGACTTGTTTGGATCCACAATATCTTTGTTTCATCCATGTTGTTACATAGTTGTATTAAAAATTAATCAATTCCACTTACTCATGCACATATCCATCATGATGAATAAATAAACCTATTCTGTTGACTGAATTATCTATGGTAGAAATTATTATGAATAATGCCATGAATAATGTCATTCCTATACATATCTCTGGGTACATATATACACACACACACACATTTTTGTGTGATATATATATTGTCTGCCAAGTCCATGTTTACCTATGTTTCCATGTTATCTTCTAGAAGTTTTGTTTTAGGTTTATGAACCATCTTGAGTTAATTTTTGTAAAAAGCATATAGTGTCTAGATTATTTTTGCATTTGGTTGTCCAGTGTTCCAGCATCATTTGTTAAAGACTCCTTTCTCCACTGAATTGCCTTTGTTCTTTTGTCAAAGATCAACTGACTATATTTATGTGGGTGTATTTCTGCTCTCTGTTGTTTCATTGTCTACTTGTCTATTCTTTCAACAATCTCACAATGTCTTGATAATTGTAGCTTTATTGTAAGTCTTGAAATTTGCTAGTGTCAGTACTCCAACTTTGTTCTCCTTCAGTATTGTGTTGACTCTTCTGGGTCTTTTGCCTCTCCATATAAACTTTAGAATCAGTTTATCAATATCCATAAAATAATTTATTGGGGCTTTAACTGGGATTACATTGAATCAATAGGTCAGTTTGGGAAGAACTGACATCCTGGAAATATTGGGTCTTCCTGCCTTCCTGCTCATTATGGAATCTCTATTTATTCAGTTCTTTGATTTCTTTCACTGGTGGTTTGTAGTTTTCTTTGTATACATCTTAGATATATTTTATTAAATTTAGACCTAAGTATTTCATTTTAGGGGATGCTAATGTAAATGGTACTACCTTTAATTCTGAATTCTACTCTTCTATTGCTGGTAAAAGTGAAAGGGACTCGCTTTTTTATATTAGCCTTATATCCTGCAAACTTGCTATAATCGTTTACTCATTTTAGGTTTTTTGTTGTTGTTGTTTTTTGTTTTCATTTTTTTAGCCAGTTCTTTTAGACTGCTACATAGATGATCATATGATCTTCACACAGTTTTATTTCTTACTTCCAAAACTGCATATCTTTTATTTCCTTTTCTTCTTACTGTATTAAGTAGGACGGATGTAAATGATGTTATATTTTTAATCTCAAATTTCCATTGTTATTTTTGGTATATGGGAAAGCAACTCTATTTCCTTTGTCAGCCTGGCTAGAGTTTCATCAATTTTATTGATCTTTCCAAAGACTCAGTATTTGGTTTCATTGATTTTCCAGTTTTCAACTTCATTGAAGGAAGTAAGGTAGAGCCTAAAGTATAGGTATTTAGTTATTTATCGTAAAACATGTCTTTTGTGATACCTGTTAATAATTTGAAAGGAACAAAAAAAGTCTTAGTTTACTAAAAAGAGTATAATCTCAAAGATGGTTGAAGGAAAACACATAAATGACCAGTAAAGTTCTTAGTAACTTGTAGAAATGTACTTTATTTCATGCAAAGCTACATAATTTCCTATATTTTAACAGCTAATCAAATAAACATCTCAAAAAAATTCATTACATTACAATAAGTTAAAATACTACAAAGCAATTCCAAGTCCATGAGTCTGTCAAAACCAAATTGAGAGAACATTATGCATAGATAAGGCCAAAGACGCTAACTTAATTACAGGTAGCACTTTGCAGGTTTTTTTCAAATACATATTTAGTGAGAATCTGCAGAGAAAAATAGTTATATCTACAAACCATTGATCAGAAAGGGAAACATTTGCCATTACGTACCAGGTAGTATTCTTACCTGGAGAACTCCATGGACAGAGGAGTCTGGTAGACTACAGTCCAAGGGGTTGCAAAAAGAGTCAGACACAACTTATTAACAGCAACTAAACAACAACCAGGTAGTAGTGGCTGATTAAGGATAAATTTGGCATCATGCACCAAAAATGAACATAATAAACATTTTGAAATTTATGATCAGACACACATTTGAAAAGACTTACTCTCTACTTCACCTAATCCACTGAATTAGATAAATAACAAGCACTTTATTAATGCAACACAGAACTTAGGCTTTTGGTATACTTTGCTTGAGTACTGGTATATATAAAAAGATACTGAAGAGATGTAGGAATATTTCAAACTCATACTAGACTACTGAACTTTAGAATATTGACCCAAGGAAATAAGTCCTGGGCAGAACTTATTTGAGGAAGATTTTTAAACTACTTAAAAGTAATAACTACAATTAGTTACTTACAAAAAACTTTACAAAAATTAAATACCAGGAAGTAACAACATCATTATTAGAGCTCTTTTTCCAATGCTATAATTTATAAATATATATATTAGATTACAATTATTTAAAAGATAGGTCCACATGTTCTCTATCTTCGAAATGAGAAAAGTTCAAGTTTTTTACAAAATATGGACAAAAACAAATCCATTGGATTGCTAAAAAAAAAAAAAACAGTCTCTCCCCTACAATTTGGCGTACCAAGTAGGGAAGATGCTAGCCAGCATTCTTTAGAGAAATACAGCTCTAAGTGACTAGATTGATAAGACTTGTGTCAATAATACCAACTCAAAATGGTCTTGCACAGTCAGATTAACAAATTATGACTTTATTTTACATATGTCTGCCACAGTAAACCATTCTTTCTATTCTTTTCCACTAAGTACAGTAAAAATCTCCTTTTGCAAAATGATGTGAGATCAGGATAACCACAAAAGAAAAGATTTTCATAGGAAAAAAGGTTAATTCTCTCCACGGAATGTGTTAAAAACAAGTCTTTTAGGATATCTATGAGAAGAGGAACATGCCATTATTCTTGTTTCATTAACAAATTTAAAATTGCGATGAGGCTTCAATCTACCACAATGGATATAAATGTTAGGAAAACCAAGCTGAACATAAAAGGAATTAGGAGTGTGGGTGTGTTTCCACTGCAATAGGACTGGGATAGGCAGGGCTAATAGCTGCTCTGATGGTAGTGATGGCTCACAGGACCTGGTCTCCAGGAGTTAGTACAGGGAATAAGACTGCCTAGTCTTCCAGGTCTCTGAGCAGAAAAATAAGTCACTGTATTGAAAAGAAGTAACCCACACAAAGGGAATTAATATTTCAGAGGGCTCTCTGTAACACTCTTACATTGTTTCAACCTCTTCTAATGCAAACTTTGACATGATGGATGTTATTTACAAACTCCTTTTCATAAAATGAGGTCTCAAGGTTTTTAATGTTTGGGGTTTGTTAGCTTGTTTTTAATAATCACTGGTTTTAAAAATGCAATTTTATGCTAAAACATCTACACTGAGAATATTTCATTTTACTGAAGAGTCCTACTTAGTGGCGAAAAAGACAACACAGTGAGCTAGCATCCCTCATATTTACATCCAGATGTTGCTTGGTTGTCTAGCAAGATCTGTTGTACTACTTTAAGTGCAATACTACCATTCAAGTAGTGGGATCTGTAGTCAGAACTACTACCTTTTGAGTGTACTAACCATCAAAAACAACTGTATACACCAAACAAACAGAAGAAAAATATGTCAGCTCATTATAAGCCATACTATAAAGACAGGCTTCAGAGAGGAAGGAAGGTATAAAAGGAATGAAAGGAGGAAGGGAGAAAAGAAAGGAAAGATAAAAGTCTAAATCCATTTACTTATTAACATTTAGGCTTTAATAAACACTATCCATTACACTTTGGAGATTCAAGTACGTTAAGATTTCTCAGGGATATGTTCTGCCTCTTAGTGCAAATATATTTATCCTTGTGATTTTCAGGCATGGCCCACACAAATCACAAATATAAAACTCACATTACTGAACAGTATGAATTAAAATTATGGAGAGTTTATTTTTCCTTTAAAACAGTAATCTACACAAAAATCAAGAACATTCTCTAAATCTACTACACGTATACAAAAATGAGGTTTGCTGTTGTATATCAATGAATTCCTTCATTAATATTCTAAAATATACTTAAAAAAACACAGACTTTCCTATCCACATTTAATTTCATTTGGGTATACAGCCAGCATACATTTAAGAACTGATAATCTAATAAAATAATAGTGTCTGAAAACAAATTGGCAGCAATTTTTTAAAAAGTTTTGATTGTCCAATCCTCTGATCTATTCTTTATAAATTGAAAACCCTTGAAAGTTCTTATTTAATTCTTATGACTCTTGTGAAATGAGGGCCTCTAGTATAATGAAATTATTCCAAAGTCCCTGTTCATCTGGTAAGAGAACAAATTCTAATAATTAGTCTTATTTTAATAATGATTTTTTTAAAGTTCTAATAATAACAAATTATTGATGTAATAACATAAGTTAATAGCAACTTACAGATCCATGAAATTAACAGATTACTAATTGTTATTTTCTGCAATGGCTTACTAAACACTGGCTTACTGAATATTCTAACAATTATTTAGAAAAATAATTTAGAAAGTTTAACTAGGAATCTATTACAGTATAAGAAACACTCAAAAAGTAATTATCAGAAGTAATTCTTCAAGAAATGTACTTTGCATGTAAAGTATATGAATTTAGTAGTAATGTTTTGCAGTAGATGTCATTTTAGTAAGATTCTCAAAACAGAAAACTTTTGTTCATATTACAGTTTTTACAAAGTTGCTTAACAAATATTAGTTCCCCAGCAATAAACTCTTAAGACTTCAGGGATTAAATAATTAACTTCCAAACACAAAATTACCCAGCCAGGTAATCTTCCTATACGATCACATATGAAATCCTGTAACATAAATTCTGCTTAAACAATTTAATACTCTGGATCACTTAAACAACCAAAATTATTTTGGAAATAACTCAAAAGTCATAAAGGGGATCTATACTGTTTTATAGAAGTATTACATACACTCCAATTATTATAATCATTTAAAAAATTAATAATAAAATAAAGTAGTACATCTTTTACATATTTCTATCAATATATCTTAGAGTATTATAAATTATAAAAGTAACTGGATCATTTCTTCTCTTTTTCTGCTTCTACTTCTACAATAGCATCTGAGTTTCATGATAAAACCTATGAGAAACAACATTATACTTAAGGAACATGTTCCAAAGTAAACTCAAAGACTAAATAAGAAAACAATATTATTTTCACAGGATTTTGATTACTTATTCCAGAAAGAGTTTTTGCTTTGGGAACTTGTAAGCTTCTCTATAATAAGAAGAAACTGGACCACTTTCTGGGGTGATCCGTTTCCTATCTAGTATCTTCAAAGCCACTTGTGTGGAAAACCAGCATAGCTAATAACTTATTTTGTCTTTTTAAACACCACTATATAAACATCAACTCAATACCCTCACAATTGCTTTGTGAGGTAGATCAGTAGGTAAATAGCAAGTATCCTCTTCATTTTGAAAATGAAGAAACTGAGGCACAGAAAGGTTACCTGATTTGCCCAAGGTTTCAATGGTCAGTCATGAAATTACAGTGTTAAATTATCTGTGCTCTTGGCCTACTGCTCTCTGACCATGCTTCGCAATAAAAGGCTGTGTGTGTGTGTCTTCTTAAATGGGTTGTCTATATAATTTCGATTGAGAGGAAAATCTATTGACTGATAATTATTTTAAAGGGGATCTAATCTTAAAGATCATAAAAATTTAAGAAAATAAGATAATTAGGATGATAACACTATCCTTTTAGTATCTGCCTAAAACTGTGGCTTCCAACATATTTACATGGTGACACCAAGAAAAGAGAGAAATAAAACATTTAAAATTATGATTCAGGGAAAAATGACCTTCAAGAAACATATAATCAAACTGTCAGGTGACTATATAATTCATCCTCAAACTGGAATACTTAAGAGTGAAAATGAGCACTACTTTTAGGATAACAAGTGAAACTAAGATGGCCGTGGGGAAGCTCAAGTACAGTCACCACTGGGTGAATCCATGGTATGGATTCTCAAAGAGTTGCAAATATTTCAGGGACATAAACAACTCTTTTTGCAAAATGTGCTGAACTATAGTCACTGTGCATAAAACATTGATGATTTAAAATGTAATATGTAACTTTGGCTTAAACACAAAATTTTAAAAACTCAACTTAAAATGGTAACAAGTTCTTAAAATGTAAGAACTTGTTTAAGCAACAAGTTCTTACATATCTCCATTCTAGTTTTCTATAAACCACAATTTAAGTGTTAGCAGTAACAGTAAATGAACTCACTTTTTATCTTTAAATAACCAGATATTCTTTTTCACAAGGAATAAATAGCCAGCTTTTAACAGTGGAGAATTTTGTGGGACTCTGACTATTAAAGTGAAGTCACTCAGTCATGTCCGACTCTTTATGACCCCATGGACTGTAGCCCAGCAGGCTCCTACATCCATGGGATTCTCCAGGCAAGAGTACTGGCACCGGTTGCCATTTCCTTTTCCAGGGGGATGTTTTCAACCCAGGGATCGAACCTGGGTCTCCCACATTGTAGGCAGACGCTTTACCACCTGAGGCACCAAAACCCCACTATTTACCATTAAAAATTATGATTCTCCTTGAATGGAATGATCAACACTCAAATCACTTAAATGGTAAAGGTGAATATTCCTCTCTGAAATGAAAATCTTTTACAAAGCAATACCAAAAGCATAAGACAACTTGCAGTTACTATCAAAGACTGAAAGAATAATTCACCACCTGATTAAAGTACACATGCTGAAGATACAAACACTATCAGTTGAAGTATAGTCTTAAATATACATGCAAAAACCTAACTAATTTGCATATAGTGTTGAAAAAGGGCTTTCTACATTCAGTTATGTCTGGTAAGTAAGCCTTGTTTTAAGACATGGGTTTTGTAAATATGGTTATTACTGAGGTCTCCATCTCTTTGGGAAATAAAGGATCAACATATTTTTTAGAAAGAACAAATATGTAAATCACAATAATAAACTATAATATTCAGTTTTAACTATGGCTTCCTTGAATCTTTAAAACAATTTTTCCTGAAAAAATTAATCTGAAACAAACTGAACTACATGTTTTCAATATATACTGATCTTGATCATGAATTAAATCCTTCCATTGTAACTGTACTTCTAAGGCAGACATTTCAGGAATGGTATGCAACAAATCCTTTTAGAAATAAAGATGATATTCAGTGAATAATAAGCCATTATGACTAAGATCTGATTAATTTTTAGTGCCTTTTTTATCCTGACACTTTTCACTGGGAGTTCAGTAGTAAATTCTAGAGCATACGGATGTTCATAAAGACTGAACTTGTTTGTTGATCTTGGTTAGCTATTCCATAAATTCCTACAGACTTTAAACATCATCGAATATTCTGCTGCGAGACATTGAGAGGTATCGTCCACCAGGCTGATACCTGAAAGGTGGATAAAGAAATGATCTGAGGCATCAAAAATAAAGAAGGAGAGAAAAACAAGGACACATTAAAAGGAAGTGGGTACATAATTTGTAAGAACTGTAAAATCTATTCAGTAGCTGAAATAAGAAACTTATTCTCCAAGGATATTATCCCAAAGAGATTTACCTATAATTATAAATCAACCAACAACTGTTTTACAGTCTATTATATGACACATATGGCAGGATAAGAGATGTAAAAAAGAAAGAAGAGAGATATAAAATACACCATGGAACTTGGATTTAATAACTACTCTAGATTGTTGAATATAAACAGAATATTCCTCTTGCTATTTGTAAGCAAATATCTTCATGCCCATGATGTTTTGCTTTTGTTTAACTATTTCTGGAGTGGAGTGGAGTCGCTCAGTTGTGTCGGACTCTTTGCGACCCCATGGACTATAGCCTACCAGGCTTCTCCGTCCATGCAATTTTCCAGGCAACAGTACTGGAGTGGGCTGCCATTTCCTTCTCCAGGGGGTCTTCCCAACCCAGAGATCAAACCTGGGTCTCCCACATTGAAGACAGACGCTTTACCATCTGAGCCACCAGGGAATTAATTATTTCTACTTGGTATAATAGGTAAAAGCACAGACGCTGAAGCCAGGGTCCTGGGGTTTAAATGCCTGATTTTGTTACTTAAAAGTTGCGTGATCCTGGGTAAGTTACTGAGCCTCTTTAGATTCAATTCCAACTGGACTTACAGCCATAAAATACAATTACTGCTGTTAAAGTGCTCAGAATACAGTGCCACCCAGTCATATCTATGTAACTACTGCTAAATATGATGCATTTCCTAAATGGAATTGTCAGAAAAAGGAATATAAATATTGTTAAGATTCTACCAAATGATTTCAATTCTTTGTTATTTATCATACTACTAGTAATAATTTATGAAGGTACTAATTTCAATTACTACCACTGGATGATATAATTTTTAAAATATAAAAGATTAGCAGGTGTTAAAAGGTATTAAACGTTGCTTAATACGTTTTACATTAGCAAGAAAGATGAGTATTTTCCTCATGTTTATCTTGTCAAGTGAGAATGTTATCAAATTTTCAGAGGAATGCTGGAGCCAAAAGGACAAACTGGAACTTACCTTCCTGATTCAGATTCAAGAGGGTCTTCAGTGAATGTTTCTGCGTTAAAATCCAAAGGTTCCGCATCCTGAAGAAGTTCTATTCGGTCCCTCTCAGTCCTGTTATTAGCCCTGGTATATTTAGATGTTGCTGCAAAAGAAGAAAAAAATTTCCACTTTCTGTTGTCTTTATGGGTCACAATCTACGGACACACAGAAAGTCAAGATTATAAACGATTTGAATTTTCATTGTGAAGACAATATTAAGAAAAGATAACTACATGGTTATCTTAAAATTATATTAAGATCATTAACAGTATGATAGAAAATAACAATGAAGTGTTCTCCTTTGTATGTAGTCTAAGCTCAGAAGCAGCTACAGCAACAGAATTAGTATTTAACTTCAATGCAGACGGTGACTGCAGTCAAAAACTTAAAAGACGCTTGCTCCTTGGAAGAATAGCTATGACAAACCTAGACAGTATATTAAAAAGAAGAGACATCATTTTGCTGACAAAGGTCCACATAGTCAAAGGTATGGTTTTTCTAGTAGTCAGCTATGGATGAGAGAGTTGGACCATAAAGAAGGCTGAGCGCTGAAGAATTGATGCTTTCGAATTGTGGTGTTGGAGGAGACTCTTGAGAGTTCCTTGGACTGCAAGGAGATCAAACCAGTCAATCCTAAAAGAAATCAACCCTGAATATTCATTAGAAGGACTGGTGCTGAAGTTGAACCTCAGTACTTTGGTCACCTGGTTCAAAAAGCTGATTCACTGGAAAAGACCCTGATGCTGGGAAAGATTGAGGGCAAAAGGATAAGGGGACGACAGATGATGAGATTGTCAGATGGCATCACCGAGTCAATGGACATGAGTTTGAGCACACTCTGGGAGATAGTGAAGAACTTGGAAGTCTGGCATGCTGCAGTGCATGGGTTCGCAAAGAGTTTGACACAACTTAGCGAGTGAACAACAACAGCAATCATAACAGTGAAACTGTTCACAATTAAAATAAGTTTCAGCTGGTTTCATAGTGAATCCAGGGGATGCTACATCTCATTTCTCGGCTATGATTTTAAGGTACAATCAACTCAAACTCTCCAAGAAAGGACTGACTCTTTATTCCATGGGGCAAGAATTCAGGGAAGCAATGTCCAACAGAAATAAATTGCAAGCCCCACATTTACTTTTTACTAGTAAATACATTTAAAAAGTAAAACTAAATAGTTGAAATTAATTATAACATATTTAAACCAATATATCCAAAATATTATCATTTCAATATGGGGCACCAGCTACCCTGCAAATGCTAAACAGCCATATGTGGCTAATGGTTACCACCTTGGTCAGCACAGATCTAGAAAACTAACTCTCCTTTTCCTATATGAATGATGTTTTCTCCATAAAAACCTAAATTTTCACAGTGTTATTTTGAGCAGCTCAACAGCATCAAAACAAACCATGACACAGCTCTTTTTGAAAATTTAAGGCAAGCCAATTCTCTCTTACCTTACATTGTTGTCATCTTTGACTCTGCCCTCCACTGTTTCTCTCATTCATTCAGCAAATACTGGTTGCCTCCCACATGCCAGGTTCTAACTCATCATCCCAAGGTTTTGTTTCCTCTTAACCATTCTCCTATACCCCCCAGATATCTGCACTTTGTTAAGTCCAAATCCAAGATAAGCTTCCAAATATCTTTGTAGAATTATCCCTCTATTTCCTAGCTTTAATTGAAACTTCAGCTTTCTCTTATTTCTTTTATGCTAAATCTCATCCAAACACATCCTTTCCTTTATCTCCAGGATGCTTATTTTAAGTCCTCATCATTTTTTTGATTTTTAATTTATCTTTAATTGGAGGATAATGGCTTTACAATGTTGTGTTGGTTTCTTCCATAAAACAAATATTGTGTATTAATGCCCTCATCATTTTCTGACTGCATTACTACAACAGACACTAAACTGGGTTGTGTCTCACTTCCCTGGAAATAATACTTTATACAGATGTCAAATTCATCTTTCTAAACCAAAAATCTGAGCCTGCTTCTTTCCATACTGAAATCTTATCTTTGGGATAAAATCTAAACTTCTAAGTGTGATAATATGTTTCCCAACTATCTCTGTAGCCTTTCCTCTCATCAGTCTTCTCATACTTCAGGTTCTAGTCATAGAGGAAAATCTACATTTCCCCCAAAATTCTCTCATGTTGTTCATTCTTTGTTCTGCCTAAAAACCCCTTCAACTGGCTAAATACTACTCATTCCTAAATAGTGTTTCTCTATAATAGAAATCCTTTCCCAATGAAGAGTTCTCTTTCCTCCCTTGAGCTGAGCCCTTCAGCATCATGTGTGCAGCCTTATACACTCTCAGCATCCCTGCATCGCTCCTCTGCCTTCTACTCAGTGCTGGATCCTGCACACAAAGAGGTCTCCTGTCACCCTTCCAGAAGCATATGACAAAATCAAGAATGCGGGGAGGCTTCCTGACTCAACCCACTGGCCAATGTCTTCTGCCTGGTATCAGTTCCTCATTCAATTAAGGGCAAACCAAGGATGGAAATTATCTTCTTTGTACTCCTGGGAAAGTACGTGACACATAAGAGTCAGTCAGTAATTTATTATAAAAATGACAAAATAGCATGAAAAACATCTAGGTTAATAGAAACCGATACCTGCCAAAAAATATGCCTGGTGTAAGTACTATTATTTAGAGAGTATAATGACAACTATTCATATGATGTCCCAGATGTCTCCTCCTACCTAACGCATATTTGACTTTCCTCTTCCTCCCATATACTGAGGGATGAAAAAAGGAAAGTCACTGCAGAACCTCACTTATCGTCTATAAAGGCATTTTCTCAGTCTCTATACAAGCAAGCATAAGAAAACAATTTCTTAAGAAAACTAGATAATAAACTACTTACATCGGTTGGTACTCATTTCTGAGAAGTTTGATTCTTTTGGGTCAATATGAACATTTCTGTTTCTAGTGGAATCTTCTCTACTGTGTCCATAACGCTCTTTCCATTCCTAGAAAAGAAACATGAACATATAACATGAGAACACACAGTCAGAAAATAATTCATCAGTGATAACAGATTTAGATTATATATGTAGAGTAATATAATCTAATTCTTTTTCATCAGGAATTTGTCAGATAATCAGTATAATTAGCACAGTGCCTTTAGAAATTATAATTTCCTTTATTTCTAAATGATTTTAATAGTTATCAAACTTAACTTGAAGACATTATAAAAATTTTTGCTAGCAATGATTATTTTAACTTATTGACTTCCATCTAAAATAATATTACAACTACAGTAAGGTTGTCTTGACCATGGAAGAATTATGAAACTCAAAATAATTAATAAGATGTTAATAAAATTTTATTCTACCTAAATAAACTACAAATCATAGAGACCCAAAAAGTCATTTTTGATAGCAAAATTAAAGTTGTATATAAACATAATTAAGTAATGACTCACATGGCATTGTGTCTTAACTGCACTAAAATCTTATTAACTGGGATTCTACTCATCAAATTCTTAGAACTGAAAGGAACCCATGCAATGCAGAGTTTCACTCTAAAATAGCCATACCAGATGCTATCTGGCTCTCTTATTAGAAGACATGAAAAATTCTATGTTTGATCATCCTGTTCCAATTTTGGTAAACTGAGTTTTCACACAGAGGTGAACTCTAGTCCACTCTTTGGTGCTAGTTATGCCTTCTGAAATAAATAACAAGTCTCCCTTTCCACGACATACACTAAAATACACAAAGACAACTATCATGTCTCCTGAGTCTTCACTTCTCCAATATGGACACACTCAGGTGTTGAAAATTTGTAGTGACTATGACTAGACTTTTCTCATTTTTTGCCTTTTCAATTCTCTAGGAGGTTAGTTTGCCTTAGCAAACAAAGGACTAAAGAAAAATTAAAGAGGAATAAAAGTAATGTCATAACACAAAAAAGCATATTTTTCAAGCAATCAAAATCACTTCAACAGCAAGACTGCATTAATTTATTCACTTACTCAATAAATATTTACTGCCCCTACCTTAGGCAAGAAACTGCTAGATGTTGGACATGAAGTAATTTATTACTAATGACTTTTTAGAACAGGTCTGACAGAATTCCTAGCATGTATATCTGAAACTATTAAAACTGCCTTTCTGTAAAAATACATCCTATGTCATTGTCCCATTGTTTTCAGCCAAAATTAATTAGATTCTTATGATATTTCACATTAATCTTTAGGTGACAGCAAGTTAGTAAGGACCATACTTACTCTTCTTCTGTTTTCACCCTCTTCTTGCCGTTGCCTTTTTCTCTTCTCTAGAGACAGAAAAGTGGTCTCAAATTTGGTATAATATGGTTTAATTAGATGTAGAGTAACTGAAGTAAAGGTATCAGGCTATGACCAATTTCCTTTAAATTACTACAAAGTCAAAGGTAATAGGTTATTGTTGGAAAGAACCAGAGAGGTCACCTAACTCCATAGAGAAAACCTTCTCAACCTTTGCTGGAGATCACTCTTTAGGATCTATCTAAACAGTGTCAGTGAGGAAGAACTTCCTCCCCCTGGCGACCTGAAATTTGCTTCTAGGCAGTTTCTCTTTTTCTTTGTTTTGTCTTATAAATTAAATTCGTACTTCTTTCTGCATAAGATTTTTTTTTTTCCATTACGTTCTTCTGGCTATATACTCAGTGGTTTTTTCCCATAAGATACACCTGACACACTTATCATTCTGCCTATTCTTCTCCAGATTCCTTCTGACTTATCAGTCCTATTCTTGAAAATCTTATCCAGGACTGTATATGATATTCCAGATGAAGTCTGATTAAGGCAAACAGCAGAAGAACTATTACATTAACTAGACACCACCTTCCTGTGAGAGCATGTGAAGGCTACACAAGCATATTTTAGTCATAGTACATTTGGGATTTATGTTTAAATAAGATCATAAAGAACCCCATGCTCAAGTAGGAAGAATGCCTAAAAACCAATGTCCCAAAACTCAAGTTTTGTTCTTATTTTCCTCCCTATTCTACCATCACTTGAACATCAAGAAATTTGATACACTCAGTTTTGAGATTAGATTCCAATAGAGCACAATGCATTCTAACAGACTACATTCTAAACACCAGCCTTGGTTTGAATGATAACCTATGCAGCATTAAACTAATGATGATTCTTTAATGAGTTTTATATTGTATTCAGTTTGACAAATATATTTCAAAGAAAACAAGACAATGACTCCAATACTAAACAAGGGAATTATTTAGTCACAGACATATTAATAATTTCTGCTACAGAATCTCTTAACGACAGATGAAATAACCAGGTATGTTTTCAAAATTTTTTTTTTACCATGAAGGCTTTCCATAGAATTTTAGCTAAAACACATCAATTTGTAATTTCTTAAGATAGAAGTTTCAAATCATACAAAAATTAATTTTGTATTTTTAACCAGTACTTTCTCTTCATTTATTTTAAAAGAAAAATCTTACCTCGTCTGATTAATTCTTTTCCTTCATCAACTAAGTCTGATGTCATATCATTATCTCCCATGAACTGCTGGAAACCAAGTAGATTCAAACAACGAGTTCCCAAGCTAATAAAGGTAGATTTTCAAAAAGATAAGCATTATTTCATACTGTAAATGTTTACACTGGAAGCCTCTGTTGTATTTCTAATTATCATGTCAAGTTATACAGCACTACACTTGTCTTTCTTCAAGTACTTATTTCCCTTTCTAAGAAACTTAAATGCCCAGTACTCCACTGACTAAGGTATGCACCAAAGCCCAACTTTTTTTTTTTTTTTCCAAAGCCCGACTTCTTACAGACACAAATTAAGTTAGGCCATTAGCATACTTTCAGAAGATTATTATACCAGGATGCTAAGCAATAGCTATAATACAAAAGCAATTTATCCTTTTCTTGTATTCAAACAGCAATTTTAATACACATACACAACCAGTATTTACAAGGGCAGAATATTCTTGGCTTAGAAAGTCTTAATTATGCAAACTGATTTTCATGGTTTTTTTTATACTGAGAACTAGTCAATTCTATTTAAATCAGTGTTTCTATAAATTCAGAATTGATTACTATAGCTTATCTGGGGGCTATCATTTATATCTTATTTGGTTTTTACTTTAAACCTCATTGTTGTGCAGGACAGGAATACTCTGAAAATATGGTACACAAGGAAGGATTAATATCTGTTAAACTACTATTATGCATCAGATAGTTTACAGATACTCTTATTTAATTCTTACTATAACTCTAAGAGATAAATATTACTTTACAGATAAAGAACAGAGGCAAAGGGCATTAAATACTTTGTTAAGGACCAATTAATAAATTTTAGAGCTGAGGATTTATATCCAAAACAAAACAAAGACCAAGTTCTTTTTACTACCTTAGTTTTCAAACTTCTTCACTAATGTACTTTTAATGGCAGAATTCCGAACACCATACATGAAGTAAGGCAGAGAGAGGAAGAAAAAAGGGAGGAGTGTGTGTGTGTGTGTGTGTGAAAGCGTGTATGTGAAAGCATGTGTGTTAGGAAGAAGAGAAAACAGTGAAACAATTAAGAAAAAGCAAACATCTCCCATTTTACATCAGTGACGTGTAAATATCTGACTAGTTCATAAATTATCTGCTTGTTTTAATATACAAGGAATGCTTGTATGACTTACCAGTGAGTAAAATTGGGGTTTCAGGTGGATGGTCATACTAATTCTGTGACTTTAGATACTCCCTTACCATCCTTATATACCTGTGGGAATACTATACTGCAGGATGAGATCATTGTCTCTGGAAAGGTTGTAGCTTTGTCTAAAGTGTCCAGAAACAGCTTTATAGGCTCTAGGCAGTTAAGTCTGAATATTATTAATAGGTCTGAGTATGGTTATGTGCTAGTAATAAAGAAATTAAACTATTATGCAGCATTCCAAAAGAAAATCGACCTATAAAGTCACGTTAATACTGAAATGTCTGCAAGGCATTTCTTCAAATATTCCTATAATACAGTATATTTCTATATATAAATATATATTATATATTACAAATATATATAAATGATAAAAATATAATTTGATAATTGATGTATATGACCTTTCTTTTCCTTAAACACAAACTAGCAAAGTTTATCTTAATTGTAAAACAACACTTTTAAAGAAATATTTTTAAGTTAAACAATTTTCCTTTTAGACATCATTCCTTACATTAAAATTTTATAGTTGACAAGGCACTATCTCATCCATCTATTATTCCTTGATGCATATGTCAATCTAATAAGATGCTAACCTTAAGTAGAGATGCTAATCTTACCAACATAACCACTAAGATGAGGCGACAGGATTTATACATCACAAGCTCTTAATGTTCCATTTGTAGTTTATAAAGTTTTTAAATGAATAAGCACATAAAAAAAGTTTATAGTTTTGGATATCCGAAGGATGACTGGTCTCTTACTTTTAATACATCATTTTCATAATGAATATAAACCTCTGTCTTTCCTACTTTACAGAAAAAAGCTGAAAATATTATATTGTTTTATCAGTTCATGGGCTTCCCTGATAGCTCCACTGGTAAAGAATCCGCCTGCAATGCAGGAGTCCTGGGTTCAATCTCCATGTCAGGAGGATCCCCTGGAAAAGGGAATGGCAACCCACTCCAGTATTCCTGCTTGGAGAATTCCATGGACAGAGGAGTCAGATAGGCTATAGTCCATGGGATAGCAGAGAATCAGACTCGACTGAGCGACTTTCATTTTCACCAGTTCATATTAAGTTTTATTTTAAATTATAATCTTTTGGCTCCTTTACTTATGAGAAGATAAAATATAGATGCCTAAAAAAAATTCAACAGAGAATTTATTTCAAACAATATGTCTTTTTACTCAATATCCAAGTGTTAGAATATCAGTATAATAATATACGCTATTTGTAAACTATTTGTAGTAACTAATTTTACTGAAAGATTTAAATGAAAAGTGGTTGGATGAAACATTATCAATAAAATTTTTTTAAGTGGCATTTTTGGTCTGTCATGGAGCACTGAAGCAGTGAAGAAGGTAGGCAGAGTATAGGATGAAGGCATTTAATGTGGAAGTAGGGAAGACAAGGTGCTAGAAGCCAAGGACACCTGTCTTAACTCCTTTTGAGTCTGATCTCTGCCAAGGTTCTACCAATTTTTCTGATCTGATAAAAAGAGTAGCCCATGTACTTACCATGTACTGTCTGATTATGACTGCTCCTTACCTGATCTTTTGTGCTGATTATGGTCTGAAACATCTAGAAACTCAAAATTTATTATGTGGAAAGCCCTAAGACTAATACATGTTACCAAATAGAAGCTGGGCAAGCAGGTGCTTTATAAGATACACTGGCTGCCATGACCAAAGGCCAGAACTCAGAGTTAACATTCTGTTATTAATCCTATCACTTTGTAGAACAAATAGCTAGAATAACTCTCTTTTCTTGAAAGTATCTTTGGAGGGAGACCCTGACCCAGCACTCAAGTGATCTCTTTAAATTATCCCCAGCATTCCCAAAGCCACAATAAAACAAACAACTAAAAGCCAATCAGTGAATATTTAAAACAGTTTTAAGGAGAAAGATATCCAGATCAGAATACATATATAAGAAAAAACAAGCAATGTTAAGTGTCTTACCTAAAATACGTAGCAATGCAGAGAATTACCACCAACATAGGATAATATATATAGAACCCATCTGCAATAAAGGATAAAACTTTCATGGAACCCATAATCTGAGGAGCAAGAAAAAAATTTAGTTAAATCAGTACAGCTCTATATATTTCATTCTTTTCATCATTAGAAAATTTATCTATAACCAGCTACATCAATAAATTTGGAGTTTTAAAAAAAGTAGAAATGAAGCACTAAATAGACTGACTTTTAAGTCCTTATCACAAGAGGAAAAAAATTGTGATTGTGAGGTGAAGAATGTTAATTAAAGTTACTGTGATAACTATTTCACAATATATACATATACTAATTATGTTGTACACCTTAAAATAATACAATGTTATGTGTCTATTATATCTTCATATGGCTTATTTTGTCCTAAGAAATTAACATTATATAAATATTACTGAAAATCATCAATTACATTAAGACCATAAACATAAAGGTCAATATTATTATAGGTCAGGTCTGTGAATACTGCTTAGCTGGACCAAAAAAATTTTGTTTTTAATAAAACAAAAGCAATATCACCTTTATCCAGTCATTAGTAACTACATATACAATGTGTAAAAGAAAGTTTTAGTAATTTTTAAAAAGATTCTAATAATGCAATAGAACTGTTTTCCAACAATGAAAAGAAATTTCACAATAATAGCATCCTATATAGATAATGAATCTAAAGAACTCTTTTTTTACCATACTTACAGATGTATAAGCAGTTGGCTGTGTATTTTGGTGAGAGATGGATGAATCCATGTGGGTCAAACCCAAGAAATTAAGACATAAAGGAGGAGTCAAACGGCAAAATAACCTGCAATAAAGCATAAACAAACACAATATATAAGAATAAAGCAGCAACACACATTTTATGTTAGCTTGAAATACACCGAGAATGTTTCAGATCATTCTATTATTCTCATCTATTTGTATTTTGAATTCTTACTATGAACTGCCCTTACTTGGAAGACATTCTGAAAGTCCTATTAATACCACAGTCTCCTGAAAAACATCAACACCTACACAATGAAACTCCAGCCTCAGGATGCCTCCTTTGGTGAGGTTTGCCACTGCTTTATCCCAAGAGTTTGTAGAGTGGCTTTGTATGTGCCTCTTCTGTGCAATTTAGCTCAATCCTCAAGGTGAATTGTACTCAGTACATAAAAGATCTGAAGCTGTAACACATTATGTCAACTCTGACAACTATAGCTTTAAATAACTGTTGGAGCTCAGTTTTTTTTCTTATTATATTCTATTTTTTTAATTAGAGGATAATTACTTTACAATATTGTGACAGCTTTTGCCATATATCAGCATGAATCAGTATTAGGCATACATGTCCTCCCCGTCTTGAACCCCCTTCCCACATCCCTCCCCATCCCACCCATCCAGGTTGTTGCTGTGTTATGCAGCAACTTTTCACTGGCTATCATTTTACATATGGCAATGTATATGCTTCAGTGCTTTTCTCTCATATCATCCCACGCTCTCTTTCCCTCACTGTGTCCAAAATGTCTGTCTCCTTTGCTGCCCTGCAAACAAGGCTGTCAGTAGTATCTTTCTAGATTCCATGTATATGTTTTAATATATGTCTATCTTTTCCTGACTTGACTCTGGACAACAGGCTCTTGGTTCATTCACCTCATTAGAACTGACTAAAATGCATTTCTTTTTATAGCTGAGTAATATTCCGTTGTGCATATATACCACAACTTCCTTATCATCTGTCAGTGGTCATCTAGGTTGCTTCCTTGTCTTAGGTATTGTAAATAGTGCTGCAATGAACATTGGGGTACATGTGTCTTTTTCGATTCTGTTTTTCTGAGAGTATATGCCCAGTAGTAGACTTGCTGGGTTGTATGGTAGCTTCCTTCCTAAAGGAACTTCTACACTGTTTTCGGGGCTTCCCTGGTAGCTCAGCTGGTAAAGAATCCCCCTGCAATGCAGGAGACCTGGCTTGAGTCCTGGGTCGGGAAGAGCCCCTGGAGAAGGGATAGGCTATCACTCCAGTATCCTTGGGCTTCCCTGGTGGCTCAGACAGGAAAGAATCTGCCTGCAGTGCGGGAGACTCGGGTTCAATCCCTGGGTCAGGAAGATCCCTGGAGGAGGGCGTGGCAACCCACTCCAGTATTCTTGTCTGGAAAATTCCATGGGCAGAGGAGCCTGGTGGGCTATAGTTCATGGGGTCGCAAAGAGTTGGATAAGACTGAGCCACTAAGGACAGCAGCACAGCACACTGCCCTCCGTGGTGGCTGTGTCAGTTTGCACTCCCACCAACAGTGTAAGAGGGTTCCCTTTTCTCCACACCCTCTCCAGCATTTACTGTCTATAGACTTTTTGATGATAGCCATTCTGACTGGAATCAGATGATATCTCTCTGTAGTTTCTACTTGCATTTCTCTAATAATGAGCTTCGTTGAGCATTTTATCATGTGTTTATTAGCCATCTGTATGTCATCTTTGGAGAAATGTCTGTTTAGGTCTTCTGCCCACTTTTACACTAGGCTGTTTGTTTCCCCGGTATTGAGCTGCATGAGCTGCTTATATACTTAGATTAATTTTTTGTCAGTTGTTTGCTATTAATTTTGCCCATTCTGAGGGTTGTCTTTTCACCTTGCTTATAGCTTCCTTTGTTGTGCAAAAGTTTTTAATTAGGTCTTGTTTATTTTTATTTCCATTATTCTAGGAGAACAAAGCAGGTCTTGCTATGGTTTATATCAGAGTGCTCTGTTTTCCTCTAAAAGTTTTATAGTTTTTGGTCTTACATTTAGGTCTTTAATCCATTTTGAGTTTATTTTTGTGTATGATGTTAGAAGATGTTCTAATTTCATTCTTATACAGGCAGCTGACCAGTTTTCCCAGCACTACTTTTTGAAGAGACTGTCTTTTCTCCATTGTGTATTTTTGCCTCCTATGTCAAAGATAAGGTGCCCACAGGTGTGCAGATTTATCTCTGGACTTTTTATCTTGTTCCTTTGGTCTATATTTCTGTTTTTGTGCTAGTATCTCTCCATTTGTTCGTGTCATCTTTGATTTCCTTCATCAGTGTCTTATAGTTTTTTGCACAGAAGTCTTTTGTCTCTTTAGGTAAATTCATTCCTAAGTATTTTATTCTTTTTATTGCAGTGGTGAATGGGACTGTTTCCTTAATTTCTTTTTCTGATTTTTCATTGTTAGTATATAGGAATCCAAGGGATTTCTGTGTATTAATTTTATATCCTGCAATTTTACTATATTCACTGATTAGCTCTAGTAATTTTCTGGTGGCATCTTTAGGGTTTTCTATGTAGAGAATCATGTCATTTGCAGACAGTGAGAGTTTTACTTTTCTTCCAATCTGGATTCTTTTTATTTCTTTTTCTTCTCTGACTGTGATGGCAAGGACTTCCAAAACTATGTTGAATAACAGCGGTAAAAGTGAGCACCCTTGTCTTGTTCCTGAGTTTAGAGGAAATGCTTTCAGTTGTTTACCACTGAGGATAATGTTTGCTGTAGATCCGTCATATATGGCCTTTATTATGTTGAGGTATGTTCCTTTTATGCCTACTTTCTGGGGAGTTATGAGCAGATAAAGAACCTTACAAAACAAGGAGCTGGAGAACAGGAAGAGATGAAAATGAAGAGAGGGTATGAATATAAAGAGGTGAAGTAAGGAGTTATTTTATGGTGACAGAATAGTTCTGTATCTTGATTATGGTGGTGGTTATAGGAATCTACACACACACACACACAAATGAATAAAGTATAAAAAATAGTGAGAACTAATAAAGTCTGTTGTGGTCTAGTTAACAGTAATGTGTCTGTGTAAATTTTTTGCTTTTGATATCATACAACAGCAGTATAAAATGTCTCCACTGGGGGAGGGTGAAGGTTACTAAGATTCTGTATTGTATTTGCAATTTCCTTTGAATCTATAATTATTTGGGGAAAAAAGGTTAAAAAAAAGTCTTAGAGGTGCTTCAGATATTGATTCCTCTTGAAGTTCCCAAAGTCCAGCCCTAAAAACCTAATATAACTAGTTTAATAATATGAACAAACAATAGATTGTGCAATTTAGCCCAAGCTGGAGCCATCTCTCTAAAATTCTGCTAAATCTCTTAGCAAAAATTATTCTTTTGGTCTTCTTAGTCCTCCACAATTTTCAGTGTGAGACCACTGAATTTTTCTGATTCTCAGAACACTTTCTAGACTTAGTCTCTAAAATCTCAAATGTTTCTATTATTACTAACTTATTTACTGACTTCTAATTGGTAAATCCAGACTCACTATGCCCTTCTTTTCCTTCCTAATCTAGCATACCTATTTTAACCCTAAACCGAGCAGGATTTAGCTAGCAATCAACAAGCATCTGATTAATACTTAAACCTAAGCAACTAGCTCATAGAAATATAGGTGTTAGAAAAAGAGCCATAAACAACAAGAAATAAAAGAGACCTTCATATAATGGAGACATTTTCCTTGTTTCTAAACAATAGTCTACTTACATGCCACTGAAAAGAAGGCTATATGCATCAGTCTGGTGATGTGAAGCCAGGTAGTAATAGTTAAATACACGAATCCTGAACACAGTAGAATAAACACAGATACTGAGGAAGAAGATGGAAAGAAAGCAAGCAATCTGAAAAAACAAAACAAAAACCCAGTTTCAGACTAATAGACTTCAGTACTTTATATACTATTATAACATTATCTTTTCATTTCCAACTAACATTTATTGACATTCTAAAATTTAAACACAGTAATAGCAGCTTTTTTAACCACCTAAGAAAATGAAATTATGAAAAAAAAATCTAGATCTTAATCAGTCCCACATCCTATCCATAAGTTTCAAATCTACCTCCTGAAGTGAGACTGTTCTCTCATTCCCTTGGCAACTCTTCACATGAGAACTATAATTTATCTAGCTTCACTGGCATAAAGAGAATCAAAATATTCTCATAAAAATATTGTGCATTATTTTGCATCTTTTCATCTCTTCTCAAATACAGTTCTTAGTTTTTATGGTCTGGGTAAAATGATGAAGCTCATTTTTGGAAATCTGAAAAATAACACTGTGGGGAACTTCACTGCTTTCATTATTATTAGAAGAAATATGTGGAGAAAAGATACAACAGTTAAGGATTAAACTTAAACCATGACTGACATTTATTTATGACAGATATAAAATAAACTGACCTCGATATAAATATAATTGTATGTTTTTTCAGCCAGCTGTATGAAGACTGCAAAGAGGGATAAGACAGGTCTAGTGCTAAAGAATGTGCACTCTGACCACACAACTATCACGGAGAATATGGACAACACCACAGCAAGTACCCGATAAAACCAGGGTCGCAAAAGACATTCCCAGTACCACTCTAAGATAAAAAGAAAAAATGATTAGGAAAACCATAAAGAAGCAACAGTGTATTTACAGTGTTTCAAAACTCCTCCACACAAGATACATAATTGCAAAGAGACATACTGGTGGAAATAAGCAGACACCATCCTAAACAAATGATCACCAATAACAGAACAACCTGATATCATGGGCCTCCTGCTCTGAGAAGGACACATTACTGCTGAGGTATTCCTGCCAAAAATGCAGAACCTGCATCTGATCATGAGGAAACATCAAACTCAAATTGATGTAAGTCAAAAAACACAATTATAATTCAACTCTGCATTGGTGAAAATATACACTTTCCATCAGGAAAATTATCAGCATCAAACTTTGAACTGTATATCAAAAATTACATACCAACTGTAGGATTATAAAAATATTGAAGAAATCTATTTTCTGGCTCTGGCGATTGAAAGGTATGAACAAACTGACAAGTAGCACTTGTTTCATTTTTTGCTACATCTTCTAGATAAAATGCTTGTTCCAAAAGAATCTGCCATTGTACTTGAGTTCGACGATGTCGCTGAACTGAATAAATCACCTTAAAAAGACAGCAGAGGGTATACCTGTCAGTGCTCTGAAACAACAGTGATTCAACTCCCTACTAAGGAGCATGTTTTGGTTGTCACAACAGGGAAGTGCTAATGGCATTTACTGGGTGGGGCTGAGGATGTTAATATTCTGTAATATATGTAACAGTTTGCTCAGTGAATAATTCTCCTCCCAAAATGTCAACAGTACTCCTGTCAAGAAACAGGAAGTTAAAACACTTGCAAGAATAATGATAAGGACAAGAACAAAGGTAGTTTCTGACATACATTCACTCAAAACTCCTTTTTTGTGGGCAGTAAATCCAACTAAAATCATCAAAAGGTAAAAAGGCTATATAAAGTTACCTGTTTATGTAGTTTTACCAGACTTTTTTCACTTGGGTAGGTATTATGCTTTTCATCAAAATCTTCATAATCATCCATGTTCCTGCCCATTTTTTCCTGATACTCTATAGGACACTAAAAGGAACAAGTAGATTTTTAGAAATTTTATTTGCAAAAAGATAAAAAAATTTTTGTTAAGAATCTTTTGTTCTTAATCCAATTTTCTTGCAAATATCTTCCAGATGTGGAGTCACCTACTCTACTATTAGTCATTTAATACATCTATGAACTTGGGCAAGTTAGTTAACCTCCATAAATAGGTCTCAAAAGGTAGCAAATATAAGAGAAATGATTAGAGAATTCATTCTCACGACTTTCATCTTAGTCAAAAGAAACACTAGCTAATGATTAGCATGACAGATTTAAAACACAGGAAAAGAACTGAATAGCCACATGAAAAAAATTAAAAAAAAAATTAAACTAGGCCACAATTGCACACCATATATAAAACTCAACCCCAAATGGATTAAAGACTTGAATGTAAGACCTGAAATCATAAAAATCCCAGAAGAAAATATAGGCAGGATGCTCTCTGATATCACTCTTAGCAAATATCTTTCTAGATATGTCTACCCAGGCAAGGGAAGCAAAAGCAAAAATAAACAAATGTGATTACATCAAACTAAAAAGCTTTTGTGTAGCAGGGGAAACCATCAATACAGTGAAAAGACAACTTACCAAATGAGAGAAGAATTTCAAATGATATATCCAATAAGAGATTAACATACAAAATATGTAAAGAACTCATACAATTCAACAATGAATAATCTGACTGAAAAATGGGCAGAGGAGCTGAATAGATTATATTTCCCAAAGAAGACATACAGGTGGACAAGTACTTGAAAAGAAGTTCAACATCACTAATTATTAGAGAAATGCAAATCATCAAAACGGCTATTAACAAAATGACAAGAAATAACAAGTGTTGGTGAAGATGTGGAGAAAATGGAATCCTCACACACAATTGGTGAGAATGTAGATTGATGCAGGCCACTATGGAAGATAGTATGGTGAGTCCTCAAAAAATTAAGAATAGAACTACCATATGATCTAACTATCTCACCTCTGGGATTTTATCTAAAGAATAAGAAAATACTAATCCTAAAAGATATCTGTACCCCTATGATCACTGCAGCATTATTTACAATAGCCAAGAAAATAACCTAAGTGCCCATCAATGAATGAATGGATAAAGAAGATATGGTATATGTGTACATGCACACACGCATGCACACACACAGTGGAATACTACTCAGCCATCAAAAAGGGCAAAATCTTGCCATTTGCAACACAGATAGACCTGGAGGGTGTTATGCTAAGTGAAATAAGTCAGATAAAGAAAAACACTATATGATTTAACCCATATGTGGAGTATAAAAAACTAATAAATGAACAGAACAAAATAAATGAATAAACCAAACTAAATAAAAACAAACATTGATATAGAGAAAAAAGTAGTAATAGAGATAGGGTAAAATGGAAAAAGGGGTTCCACTGTATGGCTGATGGAAAATAAATTTTGGTGGTAAGGATGGTATAGGGTATACAGAAGTAGAAGTAGAAATATAATGTACACACAAAACTTAAAATATGTCATAAATCAATGCTACCTGAATTAAAAAAAGACATACAAGTCTTAAAAAATAAACATAAGAAAAGGAATAGTTCAGCGGTTCTATGGTTGCCGAGAAGATAACTGGGAAACTCATTTACAAAATAATCATTTTTGGAAGTATATGAATACCTCTAATTCAATACTAAGGCATCAAAATCTTAATTGTATAGTTTCTTTTTAAATATCTACATTAAATATCTTATAATATCATTTATTTTATGAAATATGCTTATAAAATAACACGTACAAAGCTGCTTAAAAGTGATTATTGAGAACTTAGTTTATTTTCTTACAGGAGATATGCCTCTGGTGACTACATTTAATGACATTTTTACAACCTATAAAGGTCCATCTCCGTCACAGCAATGATTTTACAATATTTAACATAATCTCTATAGCTACATTTCAATGGAAAATATTGCCAATAAATAATGTTAAATGTATAATAACTAACAAATTTTATGTACAAATTATTATTAATTTACTGTTAACATAAAAATGGAAAAGGCTGGAAGATGTCAATCATATGCTGTTTGTGTACTTTTCTGATGCTTTTATTATAATATTACATTATGTAGATTTATATTTCAAAAGAAAGTAGATGGGAATATTATTTAATTACCTTTTTAAGTATTGTGTCAACACATTTTCTCAGTGGGTGGTTATACTTGATGCTCTCATTCACTTTACGAACTTCCTATAAGAACAGTAAGAGAAATAAAAATATTTCCATTTCTATAGATTAGGTGTTTCAAATCAGGATGCTCTAGGTACTATAATATATTCTCACAAGTTTAGTTACAACCTAAATTACTCAGCATATAATAAAGTTCCATTCTCTGAATAAAAGTTCTTAATAACAAAAATAAAAATATAAAATTATAGAACAAATTTATCTACACCCCCACACTTTCTAAAATTTCTAAATTTACTGCCTTATCATTTGGTATACAAAGATGAATAAGCATTAGAAAAACTCATGAAGGATCAGTCAGACTTTGCAATTCTAAAAGAACAAGACTTTTTTCTTCCACCTTGCTCCTCATGCTCAATTACCTCATTATCTAAAATGCAGCAAAGAAACCAGAAGCAGCAGAACAGGCTAAAAATATCACAAAGCACCTGCTCCTTTCCAACAACAGAGTACTTTCAGCAGTCACAACTAATGATTCATTCCACATTTTTAAGATTAAGAGTACATTATATGTCAGCACTGTCCTAGGTGAAAGGTCATCACAATCCATACTGGAGGGTAAAGTGGGAAGACATGGTGTTTTAAGTCTCACTAAGATTACAGTGTGGTGATGAGATAATTAAATAAACAATTTAAAGAGTAAGAAAGGCATGAAGGCATTAGGGAAGGGAATCTTTAGAAGCACTAGTTCTCAAAGAATCACAATATCCTATAATACTACAGGAAATTTTTGAAAAGTTGGAACCACTGTTCTAGGAAGAAGAAACAGGATGTTCAAAGGCTGGGAGGCAAGAGTGAACCAACCAGAATATTAAAAAGAACATTCTGATTATAGGGTAGAGAATGGCCTTAAGGGATGTAAAACTGGAGGCAGAGAAACCATAGGGTGTATAAACAAAGCTGTGAAAAAATAAAATATATATGGAAAAAAATACTATCCTTAATATATGAAGCGTTTTTAAAAATCAATAGAAAAATGGGAAGCTATAAAGGAAATGCAACTGGCCAATAAATAACTGAAAAAAATATTCAACCTCACTAAAAAAAACTACAAGTTTTTAAAATGAGGACAGTTTTCTTGCAAAATTATAAAAAATTGCTATTTTGTAATGAGGGAAGACTGTAGGGGGAAAGGCCTCCTATATACAATAAAATGTCAAATAACCTATTTGGAAAATAATTTAGCAATATCCACCAAAATTTAAAATACGCAGACCCATGAATAATCTGTACCAAAAGACACTGCTCCTGTCAAAGAGCTTAGCTGAGTGAAGAAAGCAGATATGATTCAAACAGAAAAGGTGTGAAAACTGCTCTATAATCTCACATGGAAAGTTTTCTGATGAACTGATTTTTTAAACTGAGATAAAAAGCTAAACTGAGGATAGGAGCCAGCCAATCAAAGGAAAGAGTAAGAATATACCAGACAGAGGGACAGCATGTACGAAAACCTCCAAGCAGAAGAGAACAAGCAGTTTCAGGAAAGTGAAAGAAATCCAGTGACTAACAGGAAAGCAGAGTAATGGCCTGAGTACTGCTTGATCAGGTTGAAGAGTAAGAGCAAAGTACTCCAGAAGGCCTTAGCAGCAGTTCATTTTGAGGTCAATGAACAGGCCTAAAAACAGAATAAAAAGATTTTGCTTTTTAAAAGGTGCTTGAAGTAACCCTTACATTACAATTTTCCATTTCTAAGCTACCTTAAAGTTCTGTTGACTTGTTACCATAACTTTGAATATAAACTATAGTCTGTTTATATTTCATATATGAAAGTATTTTTCCTTTATACAAAAGTTAAGTTTAAGTAATAAAATACTGATATTGGCTATACTTTATGAGTTTAAATTTCCTTCAAAGTTCATAATTTTTATAAAGTGCAGAAAGTATTTGAAATAGTAGCTTCTTTTCTTCATATAAAATAACATAATTTGAACTCTGTCATTATTGTATCATTATAGTCAACTCAACATAATTTGAACTCTGTCATTTCTGTGTCATTATAGTCAACTCTTCACCAGACAAAATACATCAAATCAGACTAAAAGGCAATTTTCAGTGGAAATAAGTAGCTGTTTTTTCCCTCTCCAAAATCATCTGCCTCAAAAAATGACAGCAGGTAGAGGTGACCTCTGGCCATCTAGCAAAAATTTCTTTTGAATGATTTGACATAGCTTGTAAGTTTTATTAACGGTTCAAAGAAAAGTAATGGACACACAAGATATATATAATTCACTCCATGGAAAACATATCATAAAACACTAAACTGGTTTTTATAAAATGTATTTGGGAGATTTTATGGATAGCTGAAAAATATAATTAATAATTACCCCCTAAAAAGGTGACTGTGATCTGCTAAAAGATGTATTCAAAACCAGTTTAAGTTTTCTCTCAAACTAAGTTATCAACAGTCTCATTCCAAGCTTTATTCTGCACACCTCCATCTGATTGGTTATCCTAAACCATATACAAGGTGTCAATGATTCCTCACTGCTTTCAAAATATAGTCTGGACTTTAGTCTGACCTTCGAGGCCCTCCTATATGGCTCTATATCTTGCAAACTTTACAAACTTTCTATTTTATCTTATGCTTAATTAGTTTGGTTTTAAAATCTCCTGATATTTGAGCAGAATGCTGTCATCTATGAAAATTCTACACTTCCTTCAAGGCCCAGGTCATATTTCATTTCCTCCATTTCATCTCCTCCACTGATGGCTGCTGTGAAGCGAAACTTCTCAACACGACAGCACGCATCATTTACAGTGCATTTGGCATATTCTGTGAGGAACTGTACAATTCTGTACTCTAGACAGTTAGTGTCCTAATAGCTCATTCCACATAGCACTTCAGATGGCAGGAAGATATTAAATGATTTATTAAATGATAATTTAATTAAATGATAAAAATGATTTTATTTTACTAAATGATAAAAAAAATTTTCTCCACAAGTTTATAAATTTTCAGACATTCAGAAAACAGGAAGGACCCCAAATTCCCTTAAAATACATAGACAAAGAAATCCATATCTGATAAAATTTTTTGCGGGGGGGGGGGGGGGGGTGGTGTAAAAAAGTTCCGGAACTCTTTTATCTATGGGAACTTCCTGCTATTTGCAAAACAATCATTAAGAAAAGTGTCTCTTATAATATAAAATGGATCAAATTAACACTTTGTACACCTTAAATTTAAAGAGCCTCTTGATGAAGGTGAAAGAGAGTGGAAAAGTTGGCTTAACGCTCAACATTCAGAAAACTAAGATGATGGCATCCAGTCCCATCACTTCATGGCAAATAGATGGGGAAACAGTGGGTGACTTTATTTTTCTGGGCTCCAAAATCACTGCAGATGGTAACTGCAGCCATGAAATTAAAAGACACTTACTCCTTGGAAGGAAAGTTATGACCAACCTAGACAGCATATTGAAAAGCAGAGACATTACATTGCCAACAAAGGTCCATCTAGTCAAGGCTATGGTTTTTCCAGTGGTCATGTATAGATGTGAGAGTTGGACTATAAAGAAAGCTGAGTGCCGAAGAATTGATGCTTTTGAACTGCAGTGTTGGAGAAGACTCTGGAGAGTCCCTTGGACTGCAAGGAGATCCAATCAGTCCATCCTAAAGGAAATCAGTCCTGAATATTCATTGGGAGGACTGATGCTGAAACTGAAACTCCAATACTCTGGCCACCTGATGCGAAGAGCTGACTCATTTGAAAAGATCCTGATGATGGGAAAGATTGAGGACAGGAGGAGAAGGGGATGACAGAGGATGAGATGGTTGGATGGTATCACCAACTCAATGGACATGGGTTTGGGTGAACTCTGGGAGTTGGTGACGGACAGGAAGGCCTGGCGTGCTGCAGTTCATGGAGTCACAAGGAGTCGGACACGACTGAGCGACTGAACTGAACTGAACTTACATCAGATATATTCAATTAAAAAAAGTGATTACTTATTCACTGGAAAATTTTCTCTTATCTAAAATTTTTTAAATCCCTCACACCTTAAACCTATACTAAAATAGCAAAGAAGGCATCAATTCCAATCCTTAATTTACCACAGCCTATTTCTAAGTACAGGACTCCTACCTAAAAACAACAACAGTAACAAAATCTATCTTTATTAAGATACTAAAGGTTCCTCCTGGCAAAATCCAGATCTAAAATAATAAACTGCATTTAATCTATACTTGGTCAAGGAATTTTGAATAAACTCATGAAATCTATATTCCTTAAATATGAAAGAACTGAATTTTAATACCAACTTTTGAGGGAAACGCTATCAAATGATCTTTTGATTATTTTATTATCAAATATAAATTTTCAAATTTTTTTAAAAATGCAAATCTTCAGTCAAAAAATTTCAAATATATCAAGTATAAAAATTACCAAATATAAATTAATTTCTTTTGAAAAATATAATAATACCCATCATATGCCTAAAGAATGCTACAGTTCTTAACATTTTATAAATAAATGCTGAAAAGTCAACAGAAAAGTTTTCAACCAGAATCAAAGAATCAGTATTCATTCCTTTGTTCACTTAAAAATGGTTGCTGAGTAAGAATTTAGAGAACCAAGGGAGGTGTTATGGGTTGGAACTCTGTTCCCCCCAAAATCATATGTTGTCTCAACACCCAGTACTTCATAATGTAATCTTATCTGGGAATAGGGCTTTCACAGCTCTAACTGGTTAAATCAAGAAAAGGCTTACTGGAATGGGGTGGGCCCCTAATCTTACTGGTGTCCTTATAAACAGAGGAAATTAGGACACAGAGAGGCACACAGGGAGAATACCATGTGAATAAGAAGACAGAGAGATCTACAAGCCAAGGAACATAAAAGATTGTCACTTAACTATCAGAAGACAGGAGATGTGGTACAAATTTCCCTATAGCCCTCTAAAGGAACCAACCATGCTTACACCTTGATCTTGGACTTTAGCCCCCAGAGCTCTGAGACAAAAAATTTCTGTTGTTTAAACCACCCAGTTCATGTACTTTGTTGTGGCAGCCCCAGGAAACTACCAGAGAAGGCTTCCCTGAAGAATTCTCAGTTGTATTGAGAACTGAAAATGAAGTAGGAATTAGCGAAAGAGAATGGAGAAAAGAGGGTTCCAAGAATTTGAGAACACCACACTCAAAAACAGAACAAAGAAAGCAATGAAATAATGGTGAAGAGTAGGGGTCGGCAAACCAGATTCAAGCCAGTCCACCATCTGTTCTTATCTGAACACATCCACTGCTCGTTCTTATTGGGTCTGGCTGCTTTCATGCTAAAGCAGCCAGTGATGCAGTTGCAACAGAGAGCACATGGCACAGAAAGCCTAAAATAGTTACTACCTGGCCCTTTACAGAAAAGGGCCTGTCCCTATAAAAGCACAAACTAGAGTCACACTGCCTGGTTCCATCACCTGCTAAGTGTGTGAAGATGGGAAACTTACCCTCTCTGTGTCTCATTTTCCTTAATAGAAACAAGGACAAAAAAACCCTCCCTTATAAGGCTGCTTTGAGAATTGAATGTATTAATATATATAAAGTGCTTTAGGCAAATATGTCTATAAGTCTACATATATTTGTTTGCCTACATGTTTGCTATTATCATCACCATTAGTAAGTTTGAGGAACCAAAGGCTCGAGATAAGGCTGAAGAACTAAACATGGGTCAAATCATTTTTTGATTAGCCACATTACAACATCTTGGAGACTACTCTAACATGAATGAAAGCCTTTAGTATAAGGTTTTAAGCTGAAGAATAACATTATTGGAATGGCATATTTTCACAGAAGAGCAAAATTTGAGGTGACTACATTCTTTTTTAAAATCAGCTAAATTATTAAACAGCAAAATTTTGTACTTTGTTGTATTTTTGGGTGTATATTATTGAAATTTATACTTTCAACAACTTTATGAGATTTATTCAAATTATATGCATATTACAAGTGAGCAAAATGAAGTGCCTTATTAAGATTATAGACAGAAAACAAAACTGAGGCATACAAATTCCCATGAATATTGCTCTCTAAAGAGGTTTCCAGACTTGGTGGGATTACTTTGGGTCAAACTTTCAGGAAGAAGTCCGACCTTTAATTTCAATTTTCATCTCTACTCTGTCATGGTAACTATGTAACTTATCATTTAACTGTGGACACTTTTTGAGTCTCAACTTTTAACTACTAAAAGTTACCCCAGGACAACAAGCATAAGCCTGCACTGTTAAATACATTCACCCTACATCTTTGTCAATTAGCAGACGGAGATGATATCTTACGAAGTTGAACTGCCAATGAGTCATCTGAATGGGTGAGAAATTCTTTAGAATTACACATCACCAGTTTTCAGTCTAAAGTCCACCAGTATGCTGTTGACACCACCACCACCAACAAAACCAACAGTGTATACAAAAAATGATACACAAAACTTGATGACTGTTGACTCCAGGATTTGAACTTGCTTACCTCCATGACATCTTCTAAAGTCTCTTCTGCATCTGCTTTCTCTGTCATCAATTTGGCTGCCTTAAAATAAGTTTTCATGAGTAGATAACCTCTTTTTGCGCCATTCCAGTATGACCGAGGAATTTCTACCAAGCCATACCCCAACAACAACACAAGAAGAAACAGACCCCATGTATTTGCAGCTGCTATCCCAATTGTCTGAAGCTGGTTCCTTAGAAAGAGAAAACATAAGCAGATAGCTGTGATAAATTTTTCTGACAAAAATGTAAAATGAAACTAACTAGCGTTAAATGGTTTTTCAGAAAACAACTGCCCTACGATATAGATCCTATTTTATATGAAAAGTTTCAACCTTCAAATCTTAGCTCCTCTTTTAGTAACAGCAGATAATCTGTGTTGTAATGAAAAGTTAGAGTGTGACTGCAGAAATAGACACAGCAAACACTGCTTCTATTATAGTTAAAATTAGAATCTTAGGAAAATTCATGGCAAAAATTATCCTGAAGAAAATACATTTTTCATTAGGCACTTTCTTATTTAATATTAACCAAGAGAAGACTGAAAGAATTTTCAGCCTCAAAAAATTTTGAAGCAGACACACACAAACCTCAAGAATCCAACAGTAAGGGTTATCACTGCTACTCTATTCCTAAACTTTTCAGATATGACTCTTCACATATATCATATGTGATGATATGATGAAAAACAAACCCAGGTATTTAGTCATACATAAAAATTTTAAAGTCTATGAAAAAATCATAACAGTTAATACTTCAACATAGCTCTTTGATAAAACATCAGTTCCTTGTCTAATATGTATATGCAAAGATGTTATTCCATATTTTCCTTCTCAGTAATATGGATTTTTATGATATTCTTTGGGGGGAACCCATAAAACATGTCATGGTAGGTTTCCCAATAAAATGTTTGCTTGCATATGAAATAAAATTTAATTTTAAAAAATGCAAATGTACACAGAAACAATGTTAAGAACATGGTTTATCTTACCATTCTAGGTGCAAGTGTGGGTTGACAGCTACATAAATTAAAAATGCTCCAAATATCAGCAAATAGGTGCCATAATAGATTGCATTCTCAATTAGTGCAGTTTTGATCTTCCCGGTGATGGAAAACCCTCCTGATCTTGCATATGACTGCATGAAAGGTAACAGAATCCTGGATGATTAGAAAAAATATGATTAAAAAACACTTGACATGTCGGTATAATTTCAAAATACTGGAAACATGTAAATCTCAATTTTAATGTGTGGTTCTTCTCATGAATCAATATGATTTTGAGTAATAACACTAAACCAAACTATAACAGAGGGCTGAATATGTTTCCAACATTAAATTCTGGGGAGAGAAAAGCATATTCCTGGGAGCAAAAACAATGATCAACAGAGAGTACAACAGTACACTCTGACTTACAAGGAATCTGAAAAAGGCCTTTAAAGATTTTTTGAATTATTTAGATTACATCCAAAGAATAGTGAGGAATCATTTTCTTTAACTGAAGGGAGACATGACCAAACTTTTGTTTTCTATGGACTGGTAAGAGTTCAACATGGAGAATGGGCTTAAATGGAACAAAACTGTAACTATTTAGAATGGGTAAGGGGTGGTGGTGTGGTAAGAAGCAGGAGAGAAGGGTGGTTGTCAGTATACTGATTCTGAAGTACAGGTAGGTTTAGTTCCCCAGTTGTTTGACTCTGGGAACCCCATGGACTATAGCCCACCAGGATCCTCTGTCCATGGGCTTTCCCAGGCAAGGATACTGGAGTGGGTTGCCATTTCCTTTCAGAGGATCTTCCCGACCCAGGGATTGAATCCCGGTCTCCTGCACTGCAGGTAGACTACTTAGCGACTGACTGAGGCACCAGGGAAGCCCAAATGTCAGGGGAAGTGTCCTGGATACATCCTACAGGAGCTGCACAGGAAAGAGCTGGACATCCAGTTTCAGAATTCAGGAGAACGAACAGAAACACAGACAGATTTGGAGTCATCACCACATTAATGGTACTGAAATAACATCAGTAGATGAGATCTGGAAGGGAATATATACATAGAATGAATGAGAAGGAAAGATCTGAGACTGATGCCTCAAAAATATCAACTTTTAAATGAAAGGCAGACAAACAGAAGGAAAGACCAACAAAGGAGACTGAGGGAACAGTCAAGAATTATGGAAGAAAACGAAGTACATGGAGAATAAAGTGTTTGAAAGTGGAGAGAGGAAACAGTAAAATGAAAGGCTGCCAAGAGGTCAGTAAATTAAGAGCCTGTACGTTTAAGTGGAGAAGGGAGGATAGAAAACAGGGTCCAATGGGTTGTGGAAAGAATAAGCAGTGAGCAAATGGAGACACAAAATGCAGACAACTTTAGAAGTTTGGCTACGTAGAATAAACTATGGTATATTCAAAAAGTAGAACTCTTCACAGAAATTTTAAAAAGTTAGAATACTGAGACATACAACACAGAAGAATCTTCCAAATATATGAGCAAAAAGAAAAACAAAAAGGTACATACTGTATAACTCCATATTTATAAAGCTGAAAAAGCAGGCAAAACTAATCTATGGTAATAGAAGTCAGAATCATATGTTACCTTTGGGGAGCCTAATGACTGGGAGAGGGGTATGTGGGCAGCTTCTGGGGATATTGTTAATGTTCTATATCACAATCTGAGTGCTCATTATATGGGTGTATTCACTTGGAAGAAAAGTCAAACTAAATACAGTCTGTGAGATTTTCTGTACTAATTTATACTTTAAAAAAAAGTCTCCCTAAAAAAATACAGCAGTGATGAGTAGATCATCGGGGGGGAGACAGAAAGTTGGAAAGGATTCTGACTTGAGTTTTGTAACAAGAGCTGAAGGAGATAGGTCTACATTTCAGGAAGAGGGATTAACTTTAAGAATGACTCTTACATTCTTGGAGGGAAGGAAAGAAATGACAGGTAGACAGGTTTGTTGGTGAGAAGCTGAAAAGAGCTGCCATCTGACGATTCCTTTTTCACTGGACGGCAGAAAGTAAAGTCATCTGCAAGGAGAGAAGGTGACTGTTTCTAGGACGTGAGAGAGAAAGAGTCACAATCACTGCTGAGGTTTGCAGTGACTGGAAAGATTTGTTGTGAAGAATGAAGAGCAAACAGATGAGAAAATCAAAGGATCAAAGTTTGGCAATGTTGAAGAACTAGCCAAGTTCAATGTGCATGCTACAGGGATCCTATACTCTGCTGTGTGATTTTTCTCTTGCCATGTTCCCCACCTCCAGTTTACTTGTATTATATCTATTGTAAAATGCTCAACAGGCAGTGGAAAAAGTATGAATGAGTCTGGAGCACAGCAGAAAGACAAAGTTATATTGGGTAGAAAAAAAAAAGACTTGGAAAGCATTACAAGTTAATGAAACCATGGCTATAATTACAGTTACTCAGGGAGAGTCAGATAACAAGATGACCAAAGATGGGACCCTGGGGAACACCAACACTTAGAAACCGGCCACAGAAATGCAGCACATAAAGGAAATTCAGAAGTCTGCACTGAGCGCACAGAACACCAGGGGTTAATGATGACCTCAGCAAGAGACCAGGGTCACATAACAATGGGACTTGAAGGAAACAGAACTGAAGAAGGTCCAGAAAGAAGGCAGTAACGAAAAGGAAATGGTGACAAGGAGAATTTTTTGTCTGTTTTCTACTTTTTGTTTATTTCTTTTCATTCCTTTTAAGATAAGACAGACCTCAATGAGGAGAGAAAGCATATAGATTTAAGGGAAAATATGACATAAGTAAGTTCTAAAATACGAAAGTTCACTGAAAAAATAATCACTTTTTAAAATTTAGCCAAAATATCGAAAATTTTATCCTTCACCACCACTTACCATGTTAAAAATTGTGAAGTCCAATATACTACCCTCCAGAAAATTGGCATGATTCCATCAGGAATGTAACTCCATGGCTTGAAACACGGATGTTGGCTATTTAAAAACAATTTAAAGCCAATTAATCATATGCTACTTAAATGAACTGCACAATTAGTTTGTGTTGGCAAAGTTCACTTACATTCAGCTTTAAATTATGGATTCTAACTTATAAAATTTTATAGAAAATTAAAATTCAAAACTGACTGTGTTCAAAAAACACACAAAGGGAACAAAACTGTTTTAAGGAGGAATGTGTTTAAATTTTCAATGTTTTTTTTAGTCTTTGAATAAAATGAGGACATAATGTACTAATAGACTAATGAAGTGACAGCTTTAAAAGTAAATGCATTATGAAATCAAACTCTTGAGATGATTACCTTTAAAATACCCACTCACTTCATTTGTGGGTTGGTTATGGTGGCAAGAAAAAAAGGTATTAGGTTGATTAAGTCCTAGAAACTGGAACCCTAACTTATCAGTCACTATAGCATATGTCCTATGGAGACAGATGCCAGCATCTATACATAATTCTGTTTGAATTTTCTGAAAACATGTGTATCTGACCATAGGTTCTTTCAGTAATAATCAGCATTCCTAAACTGTAAAGCTACTCTTTAGTCCAAGGGCTTCCAACAATCCACAGTGGTGCTTCAAAAGGGAATAACTACTACATTTAAAATTCACCCTTATCTAGCTTTGATTTAAAAATAAATAAATAAAAGCTGCATAAAGAAGTATGTAATACTACTTAAAGCACTGGTAAAAGCTACAGCCAATACTTATTAGTTTTTTACTGGGAAGTTTGATATGAATTCAAGATAACCTTTTGATAATTTTTTTTCCTTTTGATAATTTGAACTTTATTCTCAGTCTAAAACCATAATGTTTTTAAAGGATGCACATATATCAAAGGAATATCCTATGTACAGAATAACCTCCTCTTCCTTCATTACAACCTTGTAAATTAGGAAAACAAGAAAATGCACACCCAATTTTTTTTTTACTGGAGAGGAAAAACAGCTTTTGGAAATCTATTCTTAGTAAGGCACTAAAAAAATCAGGTCTTCTCCAAGTTTCTATTAGCATCTACTGAGAGGTCCTGAATGCCAGTAACTATTTAAAATGTATTCAAGATTAAAATTTAAATAGGATATAGGTAATGAAAAGTCTATTAGCAAAGGATGAAGAAGGGAGGTGAGTAGAGGATGAGGATAAACTTTTATAAATATAAAATCCAGATGGTCAAACTGACAATTTTTAAACAAACTGCCCCCTACAACATTTTTTTTAAAAAAGAAGAAAGTACCTTGGGACTGGGGTAGCAGTTGCATACAATCCTGTCATGTTGCTACCCTCAGGAGGGCTTGAGTTTGCAGCAGCATGTTTGCACCGGTTGTATATTGTCTAAAGCAATAAAGGCATGGTTTAAAAATGAAAACCAAAAAGTTACCAAGTACTTAAGGGATATTGGAATGTATCAAGTTGTTTACCCAAAATTACCTTCCTGGCTATGCATTTTAGTGATCAAATTCATACAATAACACTTGCTTAAAATACAAGTTGATTTTTACATAAATGAGCTGTCTTAAAAACATATCTCAAACATGCTGTCTGATTACAAGTGCCTTTTAAATTGTGAAAATTAGTTTCACCTCTTACCGTACTAACATCCAGAGGGAGTATGAAGACAATCAGAAAGCAGAGATACCAAGCTAGTAGTGTTCCAACAATGACAAGTCTATGCTGCTTCTTAAAGTCTCCATACCGATGAAGTAGGAATAACGCCAGGAAAAAGACAAAAACAATCTCGAGTCCCAGAGCTGCACCACTCATTATTCAATGTTTCCTCTGATTCACCAAAGTAATTCACATACAGGCCTGGATCATTTCTATAAGCCACGAAGAAAAAAAATAAGGCAGTGTTAACATATGAAATGACCACTTGGAAATTTCCTAATTATTTTTTATTCATATACTAACAAATTGTTAAAAAAACTGTCAGGCTTTACACCTGACTCTGAGTAAGATAAAAAGGATAAACCCTATTCTCAAGTACTTCTGTTTTTTAAAGCATATGTTGAAAATTTTGCATAAATGATATCTTTAGGAAAAAAACTATTTTAGCAAAAATCACACTAGTTCCAAAAATATTACAAAGTAAGAATACTAGATATAAACAGTTTAAATACAGTGTCACTTGGAGTTGTTCCTTAATATTATAAGTCCTAACGTAATATTTTATATAAATACACTGTTGAGTGATCCTATGAAATTAGATATTTTGTAAAACAAAGGTTTCTAAGTCATCCATAATCATTACTTCAGATTTTCTAAAAGAGAGGGAGGGAGAAACAGAAAGAGAGAGACCATTTGAAAGCAACATTTCCTTTGTCTGAAGCAGTATTTTTCTTTCTTTCATATTAATCTTGTCTAACTTTCAGGACCTGAAATTCTTATTCATCTCCTGTGCCACAAAATATACTTACCTTTTCCATATATAAATCTTATTGTCTTTAAAGTTACTTCACCTATTTTATAGGCAGAAAAATTTATCAATGAAAATTTATCATTTGAAAATATTTTATTTATAAATGTTGATGATACAGACATCAGAAAATGGTTTATTTGATATCTCTCTACTCTTATAAAATAATTTACCTTTACTAACTAAAGACAATATATGTGCTTTTCACCTCTATAAAATCAATGTCAGGCATTTCTGGTTGTCTATGGACTAACTACAGTATCCCAAGGAAAAATTAATATCTTAACATAGAGAATCAGTATCATGATGCAACCCACCAAAATAAAGTAAGGTAGAATCAACAAAATATGTCAAAGTAACAAACATTTCCAACCAAAGCTATTTATTAAAAGAATAAAGAAAGTCTGAGTACCTTACAGGTTAAATTTAATATAAGAAATACCCTTATGTAGAATATCACAAATGAAAATCACATTTAATAAGCTATTTACTTCATTATTTCTTTATATTATTGAAGTAGTTTCCTTCCATCCCTCTGTGGATTTCAACCAATATTTTCATTCTTAAGTGTCTAAAATAGAGAACTATTTGTCATTCTCTATCTCCATTTCCTCTATATTTTACTTCAAAGCACTTATCTACCTGATACAATGTATGTTCTTTATTGCTTCCCTGTAAAAACCCCCACCACACACACATACACACACACTCTTCTCTCTCCATGAAAGCAGAGAACGGGCATGCTCAGTTGTGTCTTGACTCTTTGCAACCCCATGAACTTTAGCCCCCAGGCTCCTCTGTCCATGGATTTTTCCAGGCAAGAATACTAGAGTGGGTTGCCATTTCCTACTCCAGGGGGTCTTCCTGACCTAGGGATCAAACCCAATTTTCTTGCATCTCTCATACTGGCAGGCAGATTCTTTACTACTGCGTCACCTGGGAAGCCCCATGAGAGCAGAGACTTCACCGTTTTATTCAGTACTGTACCCCATGTCTATACTACAGTGTCTGGCATATAGTTGCCATTCAAAAAATATCTGTCAAATGAATAAGTAAATGAAAAAAAAACATTACTGTATACTATAGTACATACACTATTTTTTTTATTACTGCTGACTTCAAAGGTAACGTAACACCCACTATTGTCTCCAAAACTGATTTTACATATATTTATTACAACTCAAGGGCTTCCCTGGTGGCTCAGTGGTAAAGAATCTTCCTGACAATGCAGAAGTGAAGTGAAAGTCATTCAGTCATGTCTGACTCTTTGCGACCCCATGGACTATCAGTCTATGGAATTCTCCAGGCCAGAATACTGGAGTGGGTAGCCTTTCCCTTCTTCAGGGGATCTTCCAAGTGGGTTCAACCCCTAGACTGGGGAGATCCCCTAGAGAAGGAAATGGCAACCCGCTCTAGACTTCTTGCCTGGGAATTCCCAAGGACAGAGGAGACTGGTAAGCTACAGTCCATGGGGGTCACAAAAGACTCAAACATGACTTAGCAACTACACAATATTACAACTCAAAAAGCTTAAAATTCTGCTCACTACTAACTACTACTCAAAATTTCAAATTTCAATTCCAAAGAAAAATCTTGTGTCATTAATGGTAAACCAAATCTTATTTTTAAGCCAAGAATAAGTTAAGTGACAGCCAGATGTAGAATATGCTGATGAAAACCATTACCATCTTTAAGATGCAGCTCTTTTAAGGAAAAAATTATTCAGTGTGAATTTACTTAATATAATTACCATATGAGAATCCTTTTATGATTTGACTTAGATATTTATTTTGCCTGAAATTGTTCAACACAAGGAATATGACAACCGTAGAAAAAAAGAATGAGTATCAGAGATAAGCAAGGAGATGCTAAAGCATGGCAGAATGAAATGATCGAATGTTACTGAAGTGTAAATTATATTTAAGATTATTTAGTAACATTAGAAAACTACCACAACATTAACTGAAAAACTAGACTCATGTATTTTTACATAATATGCATAAAAATAAGAGTGAATGAACAACAATGAAATATGTGGAGACATTAATAGGTAGTAAGATAACAGTTTAAGCAAACAATACATTCAGTTACAAACTTACTGGTAGTTACTAATTATTCTTTTATAATGGCTGTCAATTTTTCAGTTTGATTCATACTACTTTCAATATTATAGATGAATAAGCAGAATTATGGATCCTTTATTCTAGTAATAAAGAAATGATTTGGTTACATTTCTTCCCATACTCAGTGTATGTGTCTCCTATTGTTGTTGCCCATTTGAATGCAGAGTTCCAAAGAACAGCAAGGAGAGATAAGAAAGCGTTCCTCAATGATCAGTGCAAATAAATAGAGGAAAACAACAGAATAGGAAAGACTAGAGATCTCTTCAAGAAAATTAGAGATACCAAGGGAACATTTCATGCAAAAATAGGCTCAATAAAGGAAAGAAATGGTATGGACCTAACAGAAGCAGAAGATATTAAGAAAAGGTGGCAAGAATACACAGAAGA